TATCCTTTCCGTTTTCATCTGCACGGCACAGACAAGTATCAGAGGGAAGAGATTTGGACCAGTTTCTGGGGCTTTTAATTGCTGAGTTGAGAATTTTGGAGTTTTTTGACATTTTCGTTTGTTTTGGTACAGATGAAAATTCGATTGAAATGTGGTGGTGCACCTCCGAAAAAGCACAGTCTCTACAGAACCTCAACATCTCCATTTTGAGATGCATCGCTGCAATATGCTTGCAAAGTGGTCCAAACATGTTCCGACAAACCTTTATTGGACCCTTTCTCCGCACTCCCCCCGATAAAGAAAATATTTCTGAGCCATCCCCACACTTTCTTTTATTTACTTCCTTACCACACTTTTCTGTTATTTTAGGTTACAATTATGTTTCTGAAAACCCAATTCTCACTTCTATTACCTGCCCTTTATTGTCCAAAAAGGATGGCCAATGAAACTGGCCCACCAATGCTGTTTGATGTTTCCTACCTTTTTCTTTTTCTTTTGTAAAAGGACAATCAAATCCTCCACTTTTGTCTTCTTCTGCAATTTATCATGTTATTGTTCATGGAGAAATTACACCTATCTCGGTTATTCCGCTGGTAAAGAAAGAATATGTGATAAAAGTAAGTGAAAAAAAAGGTTGTTTTGTTAGAAATAAACTAATGGAAAGCGGAATGATTTTATTTGTTTTTAATTTTATTTATTACTATATAATAAAAACAAAAATCTTATCTAATCGTGTTCGTGTTTTTATACGGAAGAGGGTGTCTTCACATGTTCTTAGATTTGGGAGAGGCAACAAAATCTCGTTTCCTAGGATTTTGCTGAAATAAATATCCAAGGGACATGATCATGTGAGAGTTCGACCTCTGATCATTAGAACACGTGACTATTAGCTACAAGGTCAGGGTTAAGATTGAGTCTGTCAGCGAAGAAAACAAAAGGATCTTTCCCATCATAAATAAATCATGATTGCGCTGGTGTAAGATTCGACGACTCTTGTAAATGAAATAATCTTTAAGGATAAATTTTTATTAAAAGTTAATTATCTACAAAAATTAATAAATTTTTTGATTTTATAAATTAATAAATAATGGATGGCATAGTAACAATAAGCAAACTTTCTTCTGTTTCATGTGAAGTGAGTCTGACCAGGGTTTGATTTTACCCATATTTAAGTTAAAATTATGATTTTTTTAGATTGATTGTTCTCTTCGAAACATAAATTTTTTAACTATATTTTAAATTTTAGCTATTGAATGTAATTGAAATTTAATATTTACTGTTTAAGTATACACGTTAATATAATTTATATATTAATAGGTTTAATACTTATTTTGATAATTTGGTTTGTAGATATGTTTAAAGTTGTTTTTTTTTAAGTTCACTAATATTTTATACTTTGTAAAAAATAGTATATGTTAATCTTTCTTACTTATCCAGTCATTAAGTTTTCATCAGTAAAACAAGTTTGTCGTTAGTTTTTTTAACGAAATAAATAAAAAAGATTAACGTGAGTTTTTATAAAATATAGGATAATACTGAACTTAAAAAAAGAAGAAAAACTTTGAAGAGAGAAAGAAAATAGATATTAAACTTATATTATATATATTATGCAGTTAAATTTTTTATTTATTTTGGATTTAGATCGAAGCTTATTAATGAGGTGGGGCAAGTGAAGTTGTAAATTTGATATATCTTACTGTTTCTTTGAATTATTAGTTTTGGGTGATGTGACATGATAAGACGTGTAATTATTCTATATTTGATTTAATATTTACAGAAGACAATGAAAGTTTTACAAAGTTATAGCTGTAGTAACCTGGAACAGCATCATGGGTAAGGGAGTCATTCAAATATTGTCAGCACTAAAAACAAAACTCAATATCCATGTTACCATGGAAAAATACAACACTATTTTCAACATCGTACAAAGAAATTCTACTTTCGAAACATTGTAAAATAAAACTATTTTAATTAAATAACTCAAATAAAATATTTCAAAACTTCGTTGCCATAACTTAAATATCTAAAAGACAATTTATTAAAACTAACCAAGTGGCCACAAGTCATATATTATCATTTAAAAGAGAAAAATCAAAACTGTGGTTCCATAACTTAGATAAAAAAAAAAAAACGAAGTTAGACATAATATCACATTTTAGTTAACTCATTTTATCCAATCTAAATTAAATTTAAATATTTAGTAATCAATTAGTTGATATCGAGATTGATTCTCATTTATTAAAATAAATGTCTTATAACAAGTTGTCATGTTAATATACTTGAATATTCGGATTTTAATTAAATTTTCTGTCATAAATAAAAATAATCCACAAAGTTTGAGAAAATGGAGCATGACAAAAAATCATCGAATTGTCTGAATCCGTGGAGTGCATTTGTTAGGGTTTAAATGGATTTTTATTTATGATCTTCAGACACAAACACGAAAATATTGTAAAGAAAAAAATTGTCGGGCTTGGCCCAAGAAGAAAATTCTTCCTGCACCCCATACTTTTGAAAATACCAATATTACCCTTCGGACAGTTAATTTAGACAATGGTGTGTTGGAGTGTTTTGAAGTTTGTAGAAGTGGTTCCTGGTGTTGGTGTCTATGCATTATACTTTCAGCGAGTTTTCGTTTACGTTTCAGTTCTTAATTGCATTTTCCGGATTGTATAATATAAAATCCCAAATATAAATTTTGTATTCAGGAATACAACATGCCATGAAAACCAGCTAAACCACCGCCGTGAAACAGCGTCTGCACTACAGTTTGATGATGTTCTTCAACGTCCTCTCACGCCGGTGGCATGAAAATGTAGTAAATTGAGAAAAAGCAGTAAGCAGATCAAATTTGAGTGCAATCATGCTGCAAGCTTTCTAATATTTTATTTTCCAGTTTTTGAGTCTGTTACTAAATGTGTGAGAATCGGAGATGCTGAACTCGATACAATAACAGATAGGGAGGTTGCAGATGCTGGTACATTATGCAGTGAAGGGAAAATGGGGTAGGTCATTGAAAGTGGTGCGGTGCTGATGGAGAAGATGAAGATGAAGCGGGAAAGAATAAAATTTAGATTTTTATTTACTTTTTCATTTGGGTAAAGTTCACATTTTCTTACCTCATGAAGGTGCAGGTGGAGAACATTTGCAGGAAGAAGTTGTCCAGAGAAGGAGATAGTTTGGAAATGAGAGCCCAGTAATATAAAATATTCATTTTGATATTACAAAAATTTGACTGTCTCATATTAATATAAACATGTACTTTCACTACAATGACTACCTTGATCATTCCTCAGCTATGAAATAAAGTCCTGCCGTTTGACTGCATGATATTTCTGGTATAAATCATAATGAAAGGTCAAAATAATGAGGAATTATATATTATAAGTGGTGAGGATATGAAATCACGCGGTGTATGTGTATAATAATATTGATTGGCAAGCTGTATAGTGTGAATATAATCTCCACTAACTTGTTGCTGCCTCCACTTGCAGATACGGTTTATGGGGTGGCGAGCACCACCATCTACAAACTTTTTATGTAGGCTACATCTTCAAATGCCGCACTTAGCGTTGAGGCGTAATTGTAGTGCGCTGTGGAATAAGAATGCAATTATTAGCTCCACAATCGCGGATGGCTTCTCTTTTTTTTTTAACACCAGAAGTAGCTTAACACTATTATATAACATACACATGTCTGCTGATGCTACCAACCACGCATGCTCCCATTAGCTCCTGCAATCTACGAGAGCATAGGAACATGAAAGCCAACACAATTTTCTTGCTATTATTCTTTGTTCACTTGGTGTTTCTTGGAGAATCAAGATCATCATCATCTGCAGAAGCAGGGAATGGAAGTGACAACCAGACTAACCGTGAAGTTTATATCGTGTATATGGGAGCCGCCAAAGATTCTCTTCGGGATGATCATGCTTATCTTCTGAATTCAGTGCTAGCGAGGTAAATTAGTTAACACAGCTCATAATCAAAGGAAAAATAACGTTACAAAAAATTGTTATATTTCTCTGCCAAGTAGCAACTCCTGAAATCAACTACATTTCGATAATTGGAAGGAACAAGAATGCTCTGGTTCGCAACTACNTGTTCTTCAACGTCCTCTCACGCCGGTGGCATGAAAATGTAGTAAATTGAGAAAAAGCAGTAAGCAGATCAAATTTGAGTGCAATCATGCTGCAAGCTTTCTAATATTTTATTTTCCAGTTTTTGAGTCTGTTACTAAATGTGTGAGAATCGGAGATGCTGAACTCGATACAATAACAGATAGGGAGGTTGCAGATGCTGGTACATTATGCAGTGAAGGGAAAATGGGGTAGGTCATTGAAAGTGGTGCGGTGCTGATGGAGAAGATGAAGATGAAGCGGGAAAGAATAAAATTTAGATTTTTATTTACTTTTTCATTTGGGTAAAGTTCACATTTTCTTACCTCATGAAGGTGCAGGTGGAGAACATTTGCAGGAAGAAGTTGTCCAGAGAAGGAGATAGTTTGGAAATGAGAGCCCAGTAATATAAAATATTCATTTTGATATTACAAAAATTTGACTGTCTCATATTAATATAAACATGTACTTTCACTACAATGACTACCTTGATCATTCCTCAGATATGAAATAAAGTCCTGCCGTTTGACTGCATGATATTTCTGGTATAAATCATAATGAAAGGTCAAAATAATGAGGAATTATATATTATAAGTGGTGAGGATATGAAATCACGCGGTGTATGTGTATAATAATATTGATTGGCAAGCTGTATAGTGTGAATATAATCTCCACTAACTTGTTGCTGCCTCCACTTGCAGATACGGTTTATGGGGTGGCGAGCACCACCATCTACAAACTTTTTATGTAGGCTACATCTTCAAATGCCGCACTTAGCGTTGAGGCGTAATTGTAGTGCGCTGTGGAATAAGAATGCAATTATTAGCTTTACAATCGCGGATGGCTTCTCTTTTTTTTTTTTAACACCAGAAGTAGCTTAACACTATTATATAACATACACATGTCTGCTGATGCTACCAACCACGCATGCTCCCATTAGCTCCTGCAATCTACGAGAGCATAGGAACATGAAAGCCAACACAATTTTCTTGCTATTATTCTTTGTTCACTTGGTGTTTCTTGGAGAATCAAGATCATCATCATCTGCAGAAGCAGGGAATGGAAGTGACAACCAGACTAACCGTGAAGTTTATATCGTGTATATGGGAGCCGCCAAAGATTCTCTTCGGGATGATCATGCTTATCTTCTGAATTCAGTGCTAGCGAGGTAAATTAGTTAACACAGCTCATAATCAAAGGAAAAATAACGTTACAAAAAATTGTTATATTTCTCTGCCAAGTAGCAACTCCTGAAATCAACTACATTTCGATAATTGGAAGGAACAAGAATGCTCTGGTTCGCAACTACAGGCATGGTTTTTCTGGGTTTGCTGTTCGTTTAACTAAAGAGGAGGCAAACTCAATTGCTCACAGACCTGGTGTGATCTCTGTCTTCCGGGATCCAATTCTGAAGCTCCACACAACCCGTTCTTGGGATTTCCTTAAGGACCAAAGCCCACTACCCAAAACCCACAGCCCAAACAGGGCCTCCAACTCTGCTCCCTCATCAGACGTCGTCATTGGCATTTTGGACTCAGGTTCATTATCTAAACCCTAATTATTTGATGTTATGACGAATTATATGTTTCACAAGTTAACTAATGGATACAAAAACGGAATTTTGTTCAGGTATATGGCCAGAGTCAGCAAGCTTTAGCGACAAGGGAATGGGTCCCGTTCCATCCCGTTGGAAAGGCACTTGTATGAACTCCTTTAACTTCAATTCATCAAACTGTAACAGGTAAAAAAATACCCTAAATCAAGCTTAAATGTAAATCGCATCATCATTAATCTTGTCTATTTAATAAACATGATCATTTTTTATTTTGCTTAGGAAGATAATTGGAGCAAGGTATTACCGTGATCCTAATGGAGACAAAGTGTTTGAGACACCAAGGGATGTAGACGGCCACGGAACCCACGTAGCAGCCACAGCAGCGGGAGTCACCGTGCCCGGTGTCTCATATTACGGAGTGGCGGCGGGGACTGCCCAGGGTGGGTCCCCGGAATCACGGTTGGCGATTTACCAAGTGTGCTTCAAGTATGAATGCCCTGGCTCGACGATTCTTGCGGCGTTTGACGATGCCATTGCTGATGGGGTCGATGTGATTTCGGTGTCGATTGGTCCCATCCCTGGGTTACGATCCGAGTTGAAATACGACCCAATCGCCATCGGGGCATTCCACGCCGTGGAGCGCGGCATTTTGGTGGTTGCCTCCGCGGGAAACGGCGGACCATACTTAAACACGGTGGTGAATGACGCACCTTGGATTTTTAGCGTTGCTGCCTCTTCGATAGACAGGGATTTTAAGTCCAACCTTGCCTTTGGTGATAACAAAGTCATCAAGGTATATTAATATAATTTTTTTAATTGTATTTGTTAATGTAATAGAAATGTCATTTCTATATACGTATAGAAACGTTCCCCTATCAATTGATTAAAAATTAAATAATTACAGTAGAACTAAAAACGAATTTATCCCACAAAATAAACTTACTAAATTGTTTGGGCACATAACGATTAAATTTCAGGGTGAAGCTCTTAATTTCTCCCCCCTTTCAAATCTACCCAAATATCCACTTGTATATGGTGAGTCTGCCAAAGCAAAGAACGCCAGGTCAGCTGACGCAAGGTATGCACACAATCTATTCGTTAATTGGTCGCACACTAACTTAGCAAGTCTAAAATTCTAGATCGTTTTATTGAATTAACGAAAGAATGAGAAACACGCATTTGATCAAGTATGTGTAAAATTTCCAGAGAAAATTAACCATATCAACTATGAATGCAGGCAATGCTTCCCAGGTGCATTCGCTAAACGTCTAGTAAAAGGGAAGATTGTCATATGTGACGGTAAAGATCATTCATATAGAACTAGTTTGAAAGTTGATGCTGTGCGGGAGGTAAGTGGACTAGGTGTGGTTCACATTTCTGACCCAATAGTAGGAGCAGAAAGAAAAGATTTTGGAGACTTCCCAGTAACAGAGATAAGTTCTAAAGATGCTGACATAATCTTTCAGTATGTTAATTCAACCAGGTAAGGTTGCATTGTGGATGAGCTCAATATTAAGAAACATCGATAACTTTAGAATTCACAAGCTAATTTAATTGTATGTGCATAATTTAATCTGAAGCAATCCAGTGGCAACAATTCTCCCAACAGTTTCAATCCTTGATTTTAAGCCTGCGCCCATAATCCCATCCTTTTCAGGAAGAGGGCCTTCAGACTTTTCCAAGAATATTCTCAAGGTAGGACTACATTACAGATAGATTACTAGCAATTAAGATTAATTACCAGCAATTAATTCTTAACTATAAATAGAACTTGGTTTCTTTGTAGCCTGATATTGCAGCACCAGGGGTCAACATTCTTGCAGCATGGATCGGAAATCAGAGAGAAGGCGTTCCTAAACATAAAAAGCCCTCACAGTTCAATATCCTCTCGGGTACTTCTATGGCATGTCCACATGTTTCAGGACTTGCAGCTACCATCAAATCTCAAAACCCCACTTGGAGTGCTTCTGCAATCAAATCAGCAATAATGACCACTGGTTTGACCTTTCTTTCATTATAAATTTTAATCATTTAAACCTTTTTTTTTTTCATTTTTCGAAACCATAATCACCCTTGTATGTTTCCCAATGTAGCAACTCAAAAGAACAATTTGAAGGCTCCCATAAGAACGGAGACAGGATCAACAGCCACACCTTATGACTATGGAGCAGGGCAAATGACACTGTATGGACCATTCCACCCAGGGCTAGTTTATGAAAACAACACAGTTGACTACTTGAACTACTTATGCTATATTGGATATAATGTAACCGTGGTTAAGATTATATCGAGATCTGTTCCTAATAATTTCAGCTGCCCCAAAGATTCTAGTTCTCATCATATATCCAACATCAACTATCCTTCCATAGCAATCTCCGACCTCGAAGGGAAAAATGTTGTAGAAGTTACTAGAACTGTTACAAATGTTGGCGAAGAGAACGAAACAATTTACTCTCCTGTTATCGATGCTCCTAGAGGGATAAAGGTCAACTTGATTCCAAATAAACTTCAATTTACGAAAAATAGTAGAAAACTAAGCTACCGAGTTATCTTTTCATTCACGTCGACCATGTCGATGGACCATTTATTTGGATCAATTACTTGGAGTAATGGTAAATATGATGTTCGAAGTCCATTTGTATTAATTAAGAGCTAAATTAGAAGGAACTATGAATAAATGAAACCCAATATTTGTCAATATGTAAGCTTTTCACTGTATCTTATATAATTTCAAAGTTACTTTTTTTGTTAAAGGTTACTACACACAAGCTGATAAACATTTAAATCAGTAGTGTTAGAAGTGGTACGAAGTAAAGTATTATTTTCTCTTGAAGAAAAAAAATTATATATATATATATATATATATATTGAGGGAAAAGTCAGAAATTAATTTTACTATAAAAAATATAATACGTTTGTTGGTTGAGTTTAGATCCTCTGAAATTTTTCTACAAACAAAGAGATTATAATGTCCGTTAAAAAATTATTTTATGTTTTAATTTCTTTATATGTTATATACTTAAAATTTTAAAATGGAAAAGATATATATTTTGATACTACTTTTTCAAACATTTTTTTTAATCTTTTAATAGCTGAGAAGAAAAACTCTCCCAAACTCTATCTCAATCAATAATTTAACGTATAAAACATAAGTATAATTTAATCTTTTACATTTGTACTTGTATTCGTTAAAAGATCAATATTATTAAAGCTAATATATGATAATATGCAGTTATAAAACTGATTTAAGATTCGGCCCTTTTACAATTTTAATAATCTCAACTTTCAAAATACATAACCCTGAAATCAGTATGCATTCGAATTTAAGTTTTTGATTTCAATTGACATTTCAACTTTTGAATTTAAATGTTTATATTTTTATTTTTTTATGTTTTAAACATTATATAAGCAAAATATTTTTTATTAGCTGTAAAATATGTTTAAAATAATAAATTTTAAATATTATTATTTGACTTTACTTAAATATAAATTTATTTATTTTTAAATTTATTTTTATTTTCTTATAATATTTTTATCAATAAATATATTAATAATAAATATTATTAATATTACTTTTATATAATAATCTTCATTTTTTATTAATTAAAATATTTTTTTTATTTATCATATCATTAAAATATTACAAAACTTTTATAAATTTTATTTTCAAATTCAAGATCAATCATCTTCAAATTTCTTAACAAAAACAAAATTCACTTTATTTTCAAACCCCTTTAAATTTATCCCCTCCTTCTCTCTCAAATCTCCAAATAAAGCCAGCTTAAATCTGAAAAAAACTCTCAGCAGCAATGTTTCACCTTCGTATAATCATAGTTAACAGTGTACGAACGCCTCATATCCCATAAGCTTGTAAACATCTCTCTCTTCATCTTCATCATCATCATTGTGTTGGAATTCTCTCAAGAGTTGAAATATTCATTGACACTTCATATTGCACCCAATTGGAACATTTTGCTACCTATTAATTAATTAATTAATTAAATAATGTGGTTCACTAACTTATGGGTTGAGCAATTTGAATATCAGAAAAAAATATGATAAATGGGGAAAATTAAATGATGGCGCACTACTGCAATTCTGATGACTCACTCTCTCACATATACAGAGACAGACAACAAATTAAAATAAGTGGGAATACGCATTCAGCTCAATCACTTGAAGACTTGAGATTTGAGAAACCATTAAAATAAACTCAAAACCCTTTCTTTCTGTTCTTCTCTATAATGGATAAACAAGATAAGCTTTTCCCCACAAATGCCGAACTTGCCATTCCCACACCACATCATTATTTCCAGTTTGATAATCTTTTTAATTTGTGTCAGAATCCACTCATATATTTTATTCAATCTCCATCTTCTATTAATCACATTTTACGCTAATTTTCAGAATTATCTGTCTTTCATTTACATTATATTTTAGTAAAATATATATTTTTAAAATACATTAAATATTACATCACATAATTGTTTTATATATTCAATTAAAATGAATAATATTTAATAAAAATATAACCTTCAATTAGAACAATATTTTAATACATATATTTTCTTTTGTCATTATTGATTAAAAAAATTATTTAATATTATCTATGACATCTCTTTTTAACAGTATAATACAATAAAAATGAAATATTTTATTATAAATATTATGAAAAGAGATAATTTAATATATATTATATATTAGTACAATATTACAATATATAACTATAATAATATCACCTGTAACTAACTATGATTATATTATAAAACTAACTTTAATATCATTCAACTATTAAAACAATGGACTCTTGTAGTTAAATAGGTGTTTTTATACTCCTATTTTCATCTATTCACATCAATAAAATAATCATTGTAAAAAGAAAAACACAACACATAACTCACAAATAAACAAAAGAACATAAATAAAAGAGACTTTGCCAAACTAAATTAAACATATAAACATCACAAACCTATCCAATTTCAATTACAATTATTCAACTTTGTCCAAATCATTACAATTGCAATGTTACTCCTTAATCTACTTCAAAACTCAACATGCAATCAAATCATACAAATTTAAAAACCTAAACTCAATTCAATAAATCATGTTTAATACACAACTTAATAGTTCTTATATCAATATTACGATCACTCAATCAGTAAATTCAACAATTTAAAACATAAAATAATTAAAATTAGTTTCCCTCACTTATTAGACAACCAAAATACCTCTAGTTTTATAGGATGTTTTATCTACATAAACACATTACAAAAATAATAATGACATATTATTATAATCATTCATTAGTGTAGAGTCATAAAAGATAAAAAGACGTATGCAAGTAGAACAAAACAATAATGAACCTTAAAGTCGTACCGTCGAAAAGCTATATAAATACATATGGTAATGGTATTTGAAAAGAAATACACTCCCTCTCTCGTTCTTTCTCATGCATTCATATAAATATTAAAACTCTCTTATTGAATTTTGCGGGTGGATTTTCCCTCAGTCTTCAGAAACTTACATCAAGAATCACCAATCCATTCAGATTTTACTACTTTTTCGAAGATTCACATTTAAGATTCCCGAAATAACAACTAGTTTTACCTTTCGATTACACTACCCATAAATTGAAAACTTCATTCAGGACTAGGAAACTTTTCCATGTCCTGGTTACTTAGTGCATTGGTTAGGTATATGCCTATATATATTTTAACTAATTTTGTCAAAATAATTGTTCATCTTCTTTCCCCAACCCTAATTCCTTTACAATGACGTTGAGTGATACCATACATATTGTCCAGCTTTAACTGCTAAAATAAGATGATGTTCTTTATATGTAATGTTGGCATGCTACATTATATCTTAGGCTATTCCACTCTTAGTTATGAAATATACGGTGGTTAGCACCAACTACAAAATTTTACTATATGGTAACTCTATCTTCAAATGGCGCACTTTCCGTGGACACAGTGCTTGACGCGTAATTGCAGTGCGCATAAGGAATAAGCATGCCATAATTCCACCATCGCAGATTGCACTTTTTCTTCCACCGCAAATCAAATCACAATTGCTGATTCAGTGCTCACACACATTTAAGCACCCATCCATCCATGCCTTTATATACCATAACTTGCAAGAGTTCTTCAAGGCACACTAAGTTACAACTGATTAACATGCAAGGCAATAATAAACTTTTGTTGCATATATTCACTCTTTTTGTGTTTCTTGGAGCCACAAGTTCATCACCAGAAAATGGTAGCAACGGTAAACAAGTTTATATCGTCTATATGGGAGCTGCGGATTCTTCCAATGCTTCTCTTCGGAATGACCATGCTCAGCTTCTCAATGCAGTGATAAGAAGGTATACGTAATTACATGTTACGTGGACTTCAATCAATTAATTTTATTGTACTTTGCATGATTTTTACCCGACAAAAGATTAATGTGAATGTAAATTGAAGGAATGACAAGGCTTTGGTGCGGAACTACAAGCATGGTTTCTCAGGGTTCGCAGCTCGTTTATCAAAAGAGGAGGCAAATTCAATTGCTCAGAAACCTGGTGTTGTGTCTGTTTTTCCTGACCCCATTCTGAAGCTCCACACAACTCGTTCCTGGGATTTCCTAAAATATCAAACTCACGTCAAAATCGACGCCAACCCAAAAACGCTCTCCAATTCTTCTTCCTCCTCAGACGTTATCCTTGGCATATTAGACACAGGTTATTTATAACCAAGAAGAATGATATTTGCATAATACGTGCATGCTAACGTATAGTTTTCATTAATCATTGTCGATATCACACATAACCACTTAGTATACTACACATGTATATGTTCTTATGATGTACTAAATACATGAATGTTTGATGATTTAAGAAAGTATTATTTTGAAGAAAAAGGGTGTATTTTTCAGGTATATGGCCAGAGGCAGCGAGTTTTAGTGAGGAGGGAATGGGTCCTGTTCCATCGCGCTGGAAAGGCACGTGCGTGAAATCATCAGACTTTAATGCATCTAATTGCAACAGGTTGCACCCCAAATTCTACCAATGGAAACAATGATAAACATCTAAACAGTTATGCAACTGTTAGCTTATAGTTTTCTTTTCTTTGAATAGGAAACTAATTGGGGCAAGATTTTACACTGACCCTAATGGGGAAGACGGTGACAACACGCCACGGGATTCGCTTGGCCACGGGACCCATGTGGCCTCCACGGCGGTGGGAGCCGCCGTGACCAACGCATCGTACTACGGTCTGGCGGCGGGGAGCGCCAAGGGTGGGTCCCCAGAATCAAGATTGGCGGTTTACAGAGTGTGTTCTAACTTTGGGTGCAGTGGGTCCGCCATTCTCGGGGCGTTTGACGATGCCATTGCCGACGGAGTCGATGTTCTGTCGCTGTCGCTCGGTGCATCACCCGGATTTCGACCCGACTTGACAAGCGACCCGATTGCGATCGGAGCGTTCCACGCCGTGGAGCGCGGCATCGTGGTGGCCTGCTCCGCTGGGAATGATGGACCGAGCTCGAACACGGTTGTGAACGATGCGCCTTGGATTTTAACCGTTGCAGCTTCGACCATCGACCGAGATTTTCAGTCCGACGTGGTCCTGGGTGGTAACAAAACCATCAAGGTACGTGTTCAATGCATCATATTATGCCTTTTAGTTACTTAAAAATACTATTGAATAATTTTATATT